TGGTACTTTCTACAAACAAAATGAAGGTACCACCATAGGTTTCCCCTTATCACCAGTGATAGCGAATGTTTTTATGGAGAAATTTGAAACAGATGCCATTCAGACATCAACCCTACGTCCTTCCTTGTGGAAGAGATACATAGATGACACTTTCGTCATTTGGTCACATGGTCTGCCAGCTTTGAACCAGTTTCTCAACCATATCATTTCCATACACCCATCCATCAAATTCACCATGGAAGTGGAGAAGGATGGTAAGCTACCATTCCTGGATGTTTTGTTTGAGCAGAGACCTGACGGCTCGTTGGGACACTGTCTACAGGAAAGCCACCCATACATATTCCTATCTGACACCTGATTCCCACCACCATCTGGCCCAGAAGAATTCCCTCATCAAAACATTACACCATAGGGCCCACTGCATTTCCGACCAAAACCACCTAGCAAGTGAACTGGAACACTACACCAGACCCTCAAGATGAATGGGTACCTGGACCGCATTATTCGCAAAGCTATTTCTCCAACCATGTAGAAGCAATCCCCTGAGAAGCCAATCAAAACCATCACTTTACCCTACATACCAGGTGTTACCAAAAAGATTTCCAAAATCTTAAACAAACACAAGATCCAGGTCCAATTAAATACAGTACACAAAATCCATGATCTAACCCCATCTGTGAAGGATGTCATTCCTGACATGCAATATCCTGGAGTCTACAAACTGAGTTGTACCTGCGGTAGCAGTTACATTGGGGAAACGAAACGACATGTCTTGGACCGTGTTCGCGAACACAAGGCAGATCTGAAACACGGCAGAACCAATACCTCTGCCGTGGCTGACCATTGTTATAACGCTATGGGCTCGCATGATATTGTCTTTTCCGAGACCAAGGTACTCTGCAAACCTTCGGACTACTATCAAAGGTTTGTTCATGAAGCCATCCAGATATATAAACATCGACTTAACTTCAACCGAGAAGATGGATACAAATTGAGCAATCATTGGAAGGATGTTATTAACCAGGTAAAGCCTTAACTGTTGTGGTTGTTTCCAGCATACCTGCCGGTTACAAGTCTATTTTTCCGAGTCTCTTTCCCCCCGTTCCCCCCTTTCCACTTCTAGCCCCGCCTACTTCCCCTACCCCCCCCCCTTCCCCCTTGCTCCTCCCACCTTTCTTACATATATAACCTCTTGCCACGGCAGCTCTCTCGCCCACTTCAGCATTTTTTCTTGCTATGGTGTTCCCACCTGATGAGGATTGCTTGTGTTGCAATCGACACGTCGTGATTTGTTTTATTTTATATTATTTTATTTCTACCTACGTGACTTTACCGAAAGAACCAAAGAGTATGGATTCCTGCATTCACGAAAGCTTCAAATAAAATCTTGACACTACTAAGCGAGGCTATTTATCTTACCTATAAACGTCGTTTTTAGTCTGTCTGTCTGTGTGTGTGCGGACGAAACTTGCGAAGGATTTGGCTCGCAAACCGTGGGGTTTATGTTTAAAAAAGTACCCAGGTACCACGCCATAAGCCCCGTGGTGAGCCAGCGCTATTCCGATTTCGCATCCCTCAACTTTAAAATAGTTTAATGAACCATTTAGCACTATTTATTACTTATTTATTTCCTCATGCCACTGAGCCCGCTCCAGCCCAGCCCCAGCCTGCCAAGGTGCCACCGCGGCCGGCTGGGCAATCTAGGCGAGGCCGGGGGCTCTGCACGGGACTAGGCCTCACCACCACTCTCTGTGAAGTTAGTACTTTTTGGTTATTTTGGTAAAGTCACGTAGAAATAAAATAAATTAAATAATAGAATACGTTTCAATTGCAACACAAGCAATCATCATCAGGTACGAATGAGAAAAACAAACCTAGTAAACTTAGAAATATAATGCAAAACAACACAGAGAGTCGGCCAACATAACAGTCAACACCCTACCTGGTTGATTACGTTCTTCCAAAGAGTGCTAAATTTGTGAGAGAGACGAACCACAGACACGGAGACACATAGACAGGGTGAGTATTGGCAGTATATAATGTATACTGTAGCAGGGTTCTTAACCTGAGTGAGCATACTGACAGTCAATAATGTAGACTTATGTTTGGTTCTTAATAACCATTTATACAGTCTACATTATAGACTGCCAGTGCACTCACCAAACTTAATAACCAGCCTTCAATCTACGTTATAGACTGCCAGTACATTCCGATTAAAAACCAGGCTACAGTCTACATTAATGGTTATTTGTTTATTATTTTTTTATTCACTTTTTAAAATCATTTTTCTATCTACGTGACTTTACCGAAAGAAGCAAAGAATATTATTATAGAGTTAGTATAGCTACTACTACAGCCAGTACACACTGCTATACAGTTAGTATAGCTACTACTACAGCCAGTACACACTGCAAGAGTTAGTATAGCTACTACTACAGCCAGTACATACTACTGTAGTGATAGTAGCTACTACTACAGCTAGTACATACTACTATAGTGATAGTAGCTACTACTACAGCCAGTGCATACTACTGTAGTGATAGTTAGCTACTACTACAGCCAGTACATATTTATGTAGTGATAGCTACTACTACAACCAATACATACTACTGTAGTGATAGTAGATACTACTACAGCCAGTACATACTACTGCAGACATAGTAGATACTACTACAGTCAGTACATACTACTGTAGTGATGGTAGATACTGCTATCGAGTCGGTAGATACTACTATAGAGTTAGTAGATATTACTATAGTCAGTATATACTACTTTCGGGTTAGTAGCTACTGCTATAGAGTCGATATACACTATTATAGAGTCAGTAGATACTACTGCAGTCAGTAGAAACTACTGTAGAGTCACTAGATACGACTATAGAGTCAGTAGTTATGACTATAGAGTCGGTAGATATTACTGTAAAGTTGGGAGATGCTATTACAGTCGGTAGAGTCTACTGTAGAGTAAGCAGATACTACTATAGAGTTAGTAGTTACTACTGTAGTGGGTTTGTATGGAGAAGTCTTCTTTGAAGGCAACATGTATTTATTTAATGATACACAGAGAAGGTCCCTAACACGAAGGGGTAATGGCCCCTTCTACCCACAACATAAGGAGGTACAGCCTCCGGGCTAACGTGCCCTAATCACTGGGACTAACCACTCTTAGCCCTCCGGCTAGCGGGACCTAAGGGAGGCTGACCCGACCCAGCCAAGGTCCTCGGGTCTCGACCGCTGGCCCACACAGACCCGGCCCTGAGAAGGACGTCGGGTCCGGGGATCCTCAGGGTCCTAGCCTACTGACCACTGGCCTCACTGAGCCCCGGCCCTTATAAGGACGGCGGGGCTTGGGGTCCAGGGTCCTATCTTCAGGTGAGCTTCTGGGTCTTCGGCTTGAGGCGGACTGACTCGAGCCGCTCTGGGGTCTGGCTTTTATGGGGCTCCCATGGTCACTCCACCCCTGGCCATGCCCATCATCTGGAACCTTCTGGAGGGACCTAGATTGTTGTGCAATCCCCCCAGCCCCCCCACTGGGGGCCTGGGGTGTCCCCCTCTGGTTCCCAACCGTCCCCCCAGGTTGCCTAACCCACGAGTCCTGCTTCGTACAGACCGGACCTGCTATTGCCCCGTTGGCCCCTGACTGGAGGTACATGCTCAACCGTAGTCGTGGCGGCGTATTACGCCCAACAATTACCCACCACACTATAGTCAGTGGATACTACTATAGAGTCAATTGATACGACTATAGATTCAGTAATACTACTATAAGTCAGTAGATACTACTGTAGAGTCAGTAGATACTACTACAGTCAGGAGATACCACTATGGTCAGTAGATACTACTATATAGTCAGTAGATACTCCTGTATAGTTAGTAGTTACTACTATAGTCAGTGTATACTACTAAAGTCGGTAGTTACTACTATAGAGTCGGTAAATACTACTATATGGTCAGTAGATAATAGTACAGTCAGTTGATACTACTACCGTCCATAGATACTACTACGCTCAGTAGATACTACTATAGTCAATAGATACTCCTGTATAGTTAGTAGACACTACTACTGTCAGTAGATACTACTACGGCCAGTAAATACTAGTATAGTCAGAAGATACTACTGTAGAGTTAGTAGTTACTGCTATAGACAGTGTATACTACTAAAGTCGGTAGTTACTCCTACAGAGTCTGTAGATACTACTAAAGAGTCAGTAGATAATAGTACAGTCAGTAGAGTATACTACTGTCAGTAGATACCACGACCGTCAGTAAATACTGCTACAGTCAGTAGATACTACTATATAGTCAGTAGATACTCTTGTATAGTAAGTAGATACTACTACTGTCAGATACTACTAAGGTCAGTAAATACTACTGACTAGTCAGTTTAACACCTAGGCTTTTGCCACCAATATTATTCATAATAAAGTTTTTGGGTTAGATCGCATTATTTATAAATGTGTCGTAAATAACGCAATCTACCCAAAAAACTTTATTATGAATGAATACAGTCAGTAGATACTACTGTAGAGCCAGTATTTACTGCTATAAAGTCGGCAGATACTACTATAGAGTCACTAGATACTACTCACTCTATTGTATGTAGATATATATGCCTATGGGGGGGGGGGGGGTAAAAATCTTTTTTGAGGGGGGGGGGGAGGTCGACAATTTTAGGAAACCTTTTAGATCAACTATTTATCCACCACTTTCTATTACGTTTGGATTCAGGACTTCAAGCCTTTTTTAATTTTGTTGATGGACAAATGGACAAATTGAACGCCGGGCTTTCACAATAGCTTAGTACTTGTGTATGTATATATTATGTTTTTAAGAAAAATTTGAAATATATTTTTTTCCCGGGCAAAACCGGGCACTTCCCGCTAGTGAATATAAAATGCAAAAATAATCATAATAATGTGTTAACAGTGTGCATTCGAGCCTTGTGTGTGCTTCTCTGGGCATGTGGGGGTTGCGTGCAGCGGCAGGTGAGAGAGCCCCTACCAGGTACGGGGAGCTCAGCACGCACTCGAGGCAGAGCGGGGGCACGTGCGTGAAGCGGTCGGTCACACGCACGGCGCTAGGCTCCACCTCGTCTTCATCCCCATGATCGACGTAACGCACCTGGCAAGTGCACAGACCACACGCACACACCACACGCACGCAACACAGGCACTTGAGCAGTGTCTACAATGATAGACACTGCTAAAGTGGCTATCATGTGGATATGTAAACGTGTGATGTTGATTTTAAATGTGGAGGGAAAAACCGGAGGACACGGAAAAAAATCCACGCGACCACTGAGGCACGCAAATTCCAAACATGCAACAGCCATTGTCAGAGTTGGGATCGAACCCGTGACCTCCTGTATACCAGGCGAGGGAGTTAACATCTCGTCACCGCAACGCCCTCGGTTAACATCTCGCCACAATACCAATTGTCTATTTTGCCCAGTCATTTTCTACATTAAGGTGAATCCAGCTCCAGGCAAGCCACGTGCATGATTATTCAAGTGGCTTCACCTTGGCGTGCGCAATGCCCACCTGCACAGTGTTTGTCTGCACATTGAGAATCTGGCCTCGGTACCAGCCTCCTGACAGCTGAACAACGCAAGGCTGGCCCAAGGAAAACGGCATGTCCACAAGTGCAGAAAGGCTGCTGTTGTTTTTGCTGCTGCCACACTCCGACTCGATGGATTCCATCAGCTTCTGCAGGACCGCATCTGACCGAACAAAAATTAGGAAACATTAAGTGGCAAAGAGTACAGTAGACTCTCGATTAATCCGCATTAATGACGGGGAGGACGGCCGTGGATAATTAAAAATTATCCATTTTCCACGGATCTCTATGCCAAAAAGTAACCATCAATCGATCGATGTTGCAAGTGCTCAGTGAGAACGCTTCATTGCCCCCACGCAGAAGACTTTGCCCACCACGTGGACAGCAGCAGAGCCACGCCAATCAACATTAATAAAGCTTCACCGACTGTTGTAACTACTGCACTGTAGGGGCAATTACATGTATTTCACATTAACCGGAGCAACATGTGTTCGGTTAAAGCATGTGACTTATAATAAACATTTCCAAGAATAACAATGTAGAACTGTTTTTAGATTATAATAATATGTTTAACCCTTTCTGGCAATAAACAGGTGTCAAGATGTTAAAACACGAAACTGAAACCTTTTGCAAGGAATCGTATCTGCATTAACTACATATGCTTGTGGTGAACATGCAAACAAAAAAATATGCTCTGATAGTATATACGTTGTCTTTGAAACTGATTGGTCCACACCAGAGGCAGCTTTCTTTAGAGCCTAGTCTCAACAGTGTGAGACCAAAAGGTTTCAGTTTGGTGTTTTAACATCTTAACACCTATATCCTTAGTACTTTCGGTAAAGTCACGTTGAAGGGAAACAACAAAATAATAAAAAATATATAAAACAATAAAAATTCTCACGACGTTTCGACCGTAACACAAACGGTCGTCATTAGGTGTGTCGGTTTGCATAAATGTATTTATTTTTAAACGGTGTATTTATTTATTTATTTATAATAAAAAACGTTTGCGCCACGCGCAGCGATTTGGCAGTTTATTTAGAGGGACTAGTCCATCTATGTTCTGAAAAGAGGAGGGGGGAGACGAAAAATTTAATGTATGCTGTCTGAAAGCCACTGTAAGCGTGAACAATCAATTAAGACCTGAAATGGTTTATCAAATCTTTCCAATGATTGCTAAGCCAGAATCCATCTTCTTGGTTGAAATTGTCTCTGTGCTTGTATATGTGGATAGCCTCATGAACGAATCTCTCATGGTAGCCAGATGGCTTACGAAGAACCTCTGTCTTGGAAAAGTCAATGTCATGTGAGCCTACCGAATTATAACAATGATCTGCCAAGGCCGAGGTGTTGGTCCTACCGTGTTTAAGGTCTGCTTTGTGTTCACGAATGTGTTGAAACGGACCTGGATCTTGTGTTCATTCAAGATTTTGGAGATCTTTTTTGTGATCCCCGCAATGTAGGGTAAAGTGATGGTTTTGAAAGGCTCCTCAAGAGGGTCCTTCTTCATGGTTTGAGTGATAGCTTTGCGGATTGTATAGTCGGAGTAACCATTAGCCTTAAGAGCTTGGTGTACGTGCTTGAGTTCACTGCCTATGTGTTCCTGGTCGGATATGAATTGGGCTCTATGATACAGAGTCTTGATGAGAGAATTCTTCTGTGATGGATGGTGGTGGGAATCCGGTTTCAGATAAGCATCCGTATGGGTAGCTTTCCTGTAGACAGAGTGGATCATTGAACCATCAGGTCTCTTTTTAATTAGGACATCCAAAAAAAGTAGCTTGCCATCTTTTTCGACTTCCATGGTAAATCTGATGGCTGGGTGTATGGAATTGATGTGGTCGAAGAATTGGTCTAGAGCAGGCCGGCCATGTGGCCAGATGAAAAAAGTGTCATCCACGTACCTCTTCCATAAGGTTGGGCGCAGAGTGGCAGTCTGGATGGCGTCAGTCTCAAATTTCTCCATGAAAATGTTAGCTATAACCGGAGATAGGGGGGAGCCCATTGGGGTGCCCTCAGTTTGTTTGTAGAAAGTTCCATTCCAAGTGAAGTATGTATTGGTTAAACAGTGTCTCACCAGGAGGGGTACCTCAGTGTTTAGTCCTTGATGAACCAAGTCATCAATGATTGCGATGGTGTCAGGTACAGGAACCTTGGTGAATAAGGAAACTACATCAAAACTGACAAGCAGGTCGTCTGGGGACAGGGAAATACCCTTGATTGTCGATACCAGGTGAGTAGAATTTTGTACCGCAGAGGTGGTTTTTCCAGTGAAAGGACGCAGGATTTCAGACAAAAAACGAGCCAGTTTGTAGGTGGGGGAGTTGATAGTAGAGACGATGGGGCGAAGGGGTGTATCTACTTTATGTATTTTTGGTAAGCCGTATAATCTTTGTGGCCTGGCAGCAGAAGGTTTCAACGAAAATTGTTTAGATTGATCAATTAATGCGTTTGAATCAAAAATTATTTTGTTGGTTTGTGTGACGAGGCTGTTAGTGGGATCTCTTTTTATTTTTGTATAACTACCATCGTCGAGTAATTCTTAAATTTTGTTGTATTCTATTTTATCCATGATGACAGTAGCATTGCCCTTGTCAGCTGAGAGGACTACAATATCATCCCTCTTTTTTAATTTATATAATTCAAAACGCTCATCTTTGCTGAGGTTGCTAGCTGGCATCTTAGCGTTTTTGAGGGTTGCAGAGATTTCAGATCTTGCTACGTCTGCAGCGATATGACTCAGGCCCCTGAGAGCAACGTTTACTTGGGCAATTATATCATTAACTGGTATGTGTTTAGGTGTGACTGCAAAGTTTAGACCTTTAGCTAAAACGGATTTCAGACCATCGGAAATAGAACTGTTACTGCGATTAATTACGACTTTGTTAACGTCTAACTTTTTGGTGTGTGGGTCCGGTCTTTTGTTGAAGAGGAGGTTAAATTTGGAAATCAGGTTGTCCTTACATTTGGTCGACATAGCAGCTGAAGAGGCAGCCTTGTCACACAAACCAACAAAATAATTTCTGATTCAACCGCATTAATTGATCAATCTAAACAGTTTTCGTTGAAACCTGCTGCCAGGACACCAAGATTATACGGCTTACCAAAAATACATAAAGTAGATACACCCCTTCGTCCCATCGTCTCTACTATCAACTCCCCCACCTACAAACTGGCTCGTTTTTGTCTGAAATCCTGCGTCCTTTCACTGGAAAAACCACCTCTGCAGTACAAAATTCTACTCACCTGGTATCGACAATCAAGGGTATTTCCCTGTCCTCAGACGACCTGCTTGTCAGTTTTGATGTAGTTTCCTTATTCACCAAGGTTCCTGTACTTGACACCATCGCAATCATTGAAGACTTGGTTCATCAAGGACTAAACACTGAGGTACCCCTCCTGGTGAGACACTGTTTAACCAATACATACTTCACTTGGAATGGAACTTTCTACAAACAAACTGAGGGCACCCCAATGGGCTCCCCCCTATCTCCGGTTATAGCTAACATTTTCATGGAGAAATTTGAGACTGACGCCATCCAGACTGCCACTCTGCGCCAAACCTTATGGAAGAGGTACGTGGATGACACTTTTGTCATCTGGCCACATGGCCGGCCTGCTCTAGACCAATTCTTCGACCACATCAATTCCATACACCCAGCCATCAGATTTACCATGGAAGCCGAAAAAGATGGCAAGCTACCTTTTTGGATGTCCTAATTAAAAAGAGACCTGATGGTTCAATGAGTCACTCTGTCTACAGGAAAGCTACCCATACGGATGCTTTTTTGAAACCGGATTCCCACCACCATCCATCACAGAAGAATTCTCTCATCAAGACTCTGTATCATAGAGCCCAATGCATATCCGACCAGGAACACATAGGCAGTGAACTCAAGCACGTACACAAGCTCTTAAGGCTAATGGTTACTCCGACTATACAATCCGCAAAGCTATCACTCAAACCATGAAGAAGGACCCTCTTGAGGAGCCTTTCAAAACCATCACTTTACCCTACATTGCGGGGATCACAAAAAAGATCTCCAAAATCTTGAATAAACACAAGATCCAGGTCCGTTTCAACACATTACATAAAATCCGTGATCTGGTTCCGTCTGTAAAAGATGTGATTCCGGACATACAATACCCTGGTGTCTACAAACTAAGTTGCCTCTGTGGTAGTAGTTAAATTGGAGAAACCAAACGCCATGTCTCGGACCGCATTCGTGAACACAAAGCAGACCTTAAACACGGTAGGACCAACACCTCGGCCGTGGCAGATCATTGTTATAATTCAGTAGGCTCACATGACATTGACTTTTCCAAGATAGAGGTTCTTTGTAAGCCATCTGGCTACCATGAGAGATTCGTTCATGAGGCTATCCACATATACAAGCACAGAGACAATTTCAACCGAGAAGATGGATTCTGGCTTAGCAATCATTGGAAAGATTTGATAAACCACTTCAGGTCTTAATTGATTGTTCACGCTTACAGTGGCTTTCAGACAGCATACATTACATTTTTCGTCTCCCCCCTCCTCTTTTCAGAACATAGATGGACTAGTCCCTCTAAATAAACTGCCAAATCGCTGCGCGTGCCGCAAACGTTTTAAATAAATAAATAAATACACCGTTTGAAAATAAATAAATTTATGCAAACCGACACACCTGATGACGACCGTTTGTGTTATGGTCGAAACGTCGTGAGAATTTTTATTGTTTTATATATAATTTATTATTTTGTTGTTTCCCTTCAACGTGACTTTACCGAAAGTACTAAGAATATGAATTACTGCAGTCACGAAAGCTTTAAATCAAAATCCTAACACCTGTTTAATTGCCAGAAAGGGTAAAACCTATTCTTATATTTTTATACTGGCAAAGGAGGTCACATGATGTAGCTGCTCACCCCGAGCGCTCAATGTCCTGATAGTGCTTTGTCTTTGTGCTGTTCGCCTGTTGGCGTCCTCTGTATCTACAACTGTTGAGACTAGGCTCTAAAGAAAGCCATCTCTGGTGTGGACCAATCAGTTTCAAAGACAATGCATATACTCTTTGGTTATTCGGTAAAATCACGTAGGTATAAAATAAAATAAATCACATTTCGGGCGCAACACAAGCGTCCATCATCAGGTGGGAAAGCATCGTCTGTTGCTAAGGCAGACTGTTTAAAAAGGTTTGAAATGGGTGTAGCGCAAGGGTTATAAAGAAGTGGCCAGGGCTAGTGATGTTAATGTGAGAAATTAGCATGTAACTGTAAGATAGGAGAGAGGCCTCCTCGACGAGGGCACGGCTATGTTTATGCGAGGGATTAGCATGATGTTAATGTGAGAAATTAGAGGGCACGGAAGTGGCTATGTTAATGTGAGAGATTAGCATGATGTTAATGTGCCTACAAACTGAGCTGTGGTTGCGGCAGCAGTTACATTGGGGAAACGAAACGACATGTGTCGGACCGCGTCCGTGAACACAAGGCAGATCTGAAACACGGTAGGACCAATACCTCTGTGGTTGCCGATCATTGTTTTAACGCTATGGGCTAAAACGAAATAGATTTTTCCAAGACGGAGGTACTGTGCAAATCAGAGAATTGTTCACGAAGCCATCCAGATATATAAACACAGACACCTTCAACCAAGAGGATGGGGACAAACTGAGCAATCATTGGAAGGACATTATTAACCAGGTAAAGTCTTAACTGACTGTGATGTTTCCATCCAACCTGCATATGTCAGCTGTTATTTAGACTCTCTGTGTCTCTCTCTATGCCTCTCTCTTAGATCTCTCATGTCCGTTACATTGCACTCTCATGCCTTCGGATTGCACTCTCATGCTCACGTCTTTTGGATTGCACTCTCATACTCACAGGCCCTTTGGATTACACCTGTTGGGTTGCACTCCCTCGTTGAGGAGGCCGCTCTTCTTCTTTTCTACAGTTACATGCTAGTTTCTCACATGAACATCATGCTAATCCCCCACATTAACATAGCCACTTCCGTGCCCTCGTCTAGGAGGCCACTCTCCTAGCTTACTTTTACATGCTAATTTCTCACATTAACATCATGCTAATCCCTCACGTTAACATAGCCACTTCCGTGCCCTCTAATTTCTCACATTATCATGCTAATCCCTCAAATTAACATAGCAACTTCCGTGCCCTTGTCTAGGAGGCCGCTCTCCTAGCTTACTTTTACATGCTAATTTCGCACATTAATATCATGCTAATCCCTCACATTAACATATCCGCTTCCGTGCCCTCGTCGAGGAAGCCGCTCTCCTATCTTACAGTTAGTTACATGCTAATTTCTCACATTAACATCACTAGCCCCGGCCACTTCTTTATAACCCTTGAGCTACACCCATTTCAAACCATTTAAAACAGTCTTCCTCAGCAGCAGTCCATGCTTTCCCATCTGATCATGGACACTTGGTGTTGCGCCCGAAACGTCTTGATTTATTTTATTTTATACCTACGTGACTTTACCAAAAGAACCAAAGAGTATGGATTCCTGCAGTCACAAAAGCTTCAAATCAATAATGCATATACTATAGAAGCATGTTTTTTCGTTTGCATGTTCACCACAAGTATGTGGTTAATGCAGACATGATTCCTTGCAAAAGGTATCAGTTTGGTGTTTTTACATCTTAATACCTGTGATATTTCCAGAAAAGGTAAAACCTATTCTTATATTTTGATACTGGCAAGTGAGGTCCCATGTTTTCAGATGATTAATTTGGGCTCAAGGGAAAATCCATAAGTTAATAATTTATGTCAAAATCTCAGGTGCACGGTTAATCTGTAAATCAGATAAATCGCATGCGGATAATTGAGACTACTGTACAAGCTTCGCCGCATCAGGGAATCCATTTAATTTAAAAGGACAGCCGTGCGAGATAAGTCGTGCTTTTCAATCTCCACGCTCAAACTCAATACCAAACTGTGCTGTGATGTGCGGCAATCTGCTAAAAAGCCTTCTGATCGATCGTTGATTTTCCTTCAAAACACCCCTTCAGATATCCGTCGTCAAATTGCACACTGCGCGCAAAACCTCCGCGTCCTCACTATTTGAAGCCAGGTGTCCGTAGATGCGCCCACTGGCGCTAACGTGCGTCACCACCAGGCTGAACGTGTCACTGGCCGGGAGGTCGGGCGCCGGGTAGGGTACACTGGCCAACCGCTGCGGTGGAACCGCCGTGCGGGACATCTCCCTGATGCACGCCACGACGATGTCCTCGCCCATCCTCCTGTGCGTCACTCCTGGATCTGCCTTTGGCCTGCACAAAGGCGGGAAAAGCCATGATGTATAGGATGACTCGCTCCCCTCTTCCCAACCATCACTCAAGGGGCACCCACAGTGGCAAAGACGACAAAAATCCCTGCGAGTTGTACTACCTTTTAACGTGGAAGGCCAGCCCCTTAAGTACTAGCAAGTTGCCGATGTCCCTTAAGTGCTCTTTGTCTCCCTCCATGAGGCAAGTGAGCTGCACAGGCACGGGGTCGTCCCTCTCCATCTCCCCCTGCACAGCGAGCCACAGCCAGCAATGACACCCGCAGTGCCACAGTGAGCATGGCCAGCAATAACACCAGCAGTGTCACACTGAGCCACAGCCAGCAATGACACCCAGTGTCACAGCGAGCATGGCCAGCAAGGACACCCAGTGTCACAACCAACAATGACACCCGCAGTGTCACACTGAGTACAGCTAGCAATGACACCCGCAGTGTCAAACCGAACACAGCCAGCAATGACACCCACAGTATCATACAGAGCACAGCCAGCAATGACACCTGCAGTGTCACCAACTGAAACCATAAGAAGCAAATACCTTTAAATGAAAATAATTCGTAACGTAATATTTTATTTTTGTAATCTAGGCAAAGTAATTTGGTCATACTTGTTGCTTTTGGTAAATTAAAGTCCTTCCCCTGGAAACCTTCATCCCCTGTCCAGCACTCTGAAATTCCGTCTCTGACCACAACTCCCTTGCTGGGGCTCTCTCGAGACAAAGCTCCTTAACATTTGCATTTTCTTTGTGGAGGCAAAACCCAGTCCATCCCGCGGAATCACAATCTTCCTGGCAGCTGGCTGAAAAACCTCGGGATGCAGTTACCGCTCATCCGGATCTAGGCTTTCTCAGCTTAACCAAACCGGATATCTGAATTGTCGGTCCCAGCAAGCTGGTAAGGCCAGCAGGGGGCACACCCAGGTTCTCTCTGCCCAGGATAAAGAGGTGAGCAAACTCGTGTGTCAGTTTGTAGAACCCTGGAGTGCCATGCCATCAGGTTGTCGCAGCACCTCAACAAGACAATCCTTGATTTAAAGCTTTCGTGACTGCAGTAATTCATATTCTTAGTTTTTTCGGTAAAGTCACGTTGAAGGGAAACAACAAAGTAATAAAATATATATGAAACAATAAAAAAATTCTCACGACGTTTCGACCATAACTCAAACGGTCGTCTTCAGTTATGGTCGAAACGTCGTGATAATTTTTTATTGTTTTATATATATTTTGTTGTTTCCCTTCAACGTGACTTTACCGAAAAAACTAAGAATAAGACAATCCTTCTTTGTCCATTGCCACTGCTCCTAGCGGTTACAGCGATAGCTGTACAGCCCTGAGCTTGAATAGATTAATACTGCTCCTTCCGTTCTTCTGGCGAACATCTGCACTGCGAAAGCTCTTGTGCTTTGGCCGCAAGCTCTCCATCTTGAACGGGCTCGCGTATCCACCTCCACCACTACCTGTTGATCCTTCAAGAAGCCGCGGGGGGACGCCTTCCCTCCTACAAGACAGGGACGACTCAGCCACTGTAAGCGGTTCCGGCCTCACCGGCTGAGAGAGCTTCACAAAGTGCCTCAAGTTACCCCTGCAAAGGGGTCTCCCCCCATGCTGTCAGGAAGAACCACGATGTGGCCCTCATAGGTAGCATGGCCCAAGGGGACCACGCCTACCATCTCCATCACATGGTCTAGGGGGATTACCAGGGTGTGCCATGAGCTCCCTCTCCTCTGCCGTTCAACAACTTTGGCTGTCGTTGCTTGGAGGCATCCGACCTTTTCCCACTGTTGGCGAGTGGTCACTGCAGCGCCGATCACGTCCTCCAGGTGGCTAGGACTTGTGTACACGTAGATGCCGTCCTTTCACAGGTAAGCGATGACCACAATCAACACCTTCGTGGTGTCTAGATGTTAACTTCCTCGCCTGGTATGCAGGAGGTCGTCAGTTCCATCCCGATCCTGACGCCTGCTGTATATTTGGAGTTTGCATGTCTCTTTCCCCGTGGACGTGCGGAATTTTCTCCGGGTCCTCCAGTTTTTCACTCCACATTTAGAAAGATCCGTTTAGAGTATTTGGTTGCTATAAATTTCCACATGATATGTTACTTTGTTGAGATATCATTTGTGGCCAGGTCACTTCTGAAAAAGAGCTACATAGCCCAGTGGGCTTTACCTGGTGAAGTAAAAAATTATTTAGTTTTAAATACCCTCGAGGAGGATGAGAGTCTAAGTCCCAGCGTCTCCCTGTGATTCTGTAGCGCAAAAACTCGTGGTCGCTTTGAAAATTCACATGTACAATGTGAACAAATAGGTTTACAACGGCAATATCTAGTGCATCTGCTGAGCCTCCTTGGATCCAGGATGGCTCTGTAACCCCCCAGATGCTTTGGATCCAAATGAATAATGCGCAGGAACCCAACTTGCGCTGCACTCCCGAGACCTCTCGTACAGTCCTACATCAATATGAAAATACTGGATATAGGAAGTTTCAGTATACAGACTCCTCTACTTACAAACATTCGACTAATGACTCATGAGGTATGAACAACCTTGATTTGAAGCTTTCGTGACTGCAGGAATCCACATTCTTTGGTTATTTCGGTAAAGTCACTTAGGTATAAAATAAAACAAAATAAAATCACGACGTTTCGGGCGCAACACAAGTGTCCATCATCAGTTGAGAAAGCATGGTCTGCTGCTGAGGCAGACTATTTTAAAAGGTTTGAAATGGGTGTAGCTCAAGGGTCATAAAGAAGTGGCCGGGGCTAGTGATGTTAATGTGAGAAATTATCATGTAACTGTAAGATAGGAGAGCGGCCTCCTCGACGAGGGCATGGAAGTGGATATGTTAATGTGAGATTAGCATTATGTTAATGTGAGAAATTAGCATGTAAACGTAAGCTAGGAGAGCGGCCTTCTAGACGAGGGCACGGAAGTGGCCAATCAGCACGCAACAACGTACTATGTAATGGAGCTGCGGTGTTTGGTGGGCAATGCAACCTTATGACTGCACCCAAGACTACACCAGTGAATGTGAAGATATTTTACAGTACACTACCTTTTATTTATGTAGTTTTATATTTTAATACTGTACAGTATAAAATATATTTATTAAATATGAATGGAAAGTTATTAAGTGTTTATCATATGAAATGGTTCGTTACGAAGGCTAGGAAGGCATACTCGGGCTCAGGCAAAAAATATAATGGGCGGATGAGGTGTGATGGTTGCAGACTCCAGGATTCAGTTTTCTACTCAACTAAAGAACCTTGCCACCATAATCGACCACAATATCTACTTTGACCACCAATTTTCATATCAGGGCTCTACAGCACATTTGGCCACTATTGAGCCAACACGGTGGCGTGTAGCATAGTATCGATGAGGCTCGATAATAGCAACGTGCAACTCTACGGGACGTCTGGTAAAAACATTACCAAGCTGAAGTGTGTACAAAATGATCTGGCACGTGTCGTGACGGGTACTGCAAGATCTGATCATGTCCGTCCTGTGCTCGCTGAGCTGCATTGGCTTCAGGTTGCTGAACTAATAGATTTTAAGGTCACGCTCATTACACACAAAGTGCTTGCCACAAAATGAATCACAACACCTAACTGATCTCATCAAAAAACATAAACCATTACACGAACTCTGGTTATCCTCACAGCAGCTTTTGTCTGGCTATCGAACAAAGATGGTCACCGTATCGTGCGCTTTTAGATGTGTTTCTGCAGCCGTCTGGAACATGCGTCCTTCCAATATTAGGAAGCTTCTGGAGATGTGCACTTTTAAATCATCTAGATTGACAAACTAATTTCCTTAGAACTAATTTTGTGTTTACTTTGTTGTCTTTCCTCCGTACCTCTGATAAGCACAGTGGGCTACGTACGGTGCAAAAGAAGTTAAACATACATACATCCCCATTGTACTCTTATAAGTTATTCAATATACGAAGTTTCGATACATAGGAACGAAGCTCCAGGAACGCATCTGCTTCATACGTCGAGGTATTACTGTACTCCGAACCCACTCGTCCCAAGCGGTCCTCTCCCTATCCGGCAGGTTCGTAGTACAGCACACTAACCGCTACACTACCGCGCCCCATTATAAAGAATGCATATACCATGTATAAACGTGCAAGCCAAGACACACGTAGGCATGTAAACAGTACACATACAAAAAAACAAAATCACAGTTTACAACAAATAAATGTCAAAAAACACACGATACCATTTCCTTGACGTAGCAGTATTTCTGAGAAATGGTATCGGACAAGAAGTCGCACGCTCCGGCCGACCACTCTTCGCTGCCACCTGTTGGCCTGGAAAAAGAGATGGTCAGAGGCACGCACTCACACACACACGCACATGCACGCACAGACTACAAGTGGACGCTCGATTGTCCGAGTACAGTTTCTCTAATGGGCCGATTAACTGAGCGCACCTGAGATTTTGACGTAAATGAATAACTCGTGGATTTTTCCCCGAAGCCCAAATAAAAAATTGTAAAAGTGTATTACAAGTCACGTGCTTAAACTGAACAAATGTGCTCCAGTTAATCCGAAATCCACATGATCGCCTCTAAAGTACAGTAGTTGCAGATCTTTACAACAGTGGGTAGAGTGTGATTGATATTGATTGGCATAGCTCTGTTGCTGTCTACGTGGTAGGCAGTCTTCTGCGCGGGAGCAGGAAAGTGTTATCACTGAGCAATGGCATCGAATACTGACGATCCACCGATCGATCGTTAGTACTCCTTCTAAATCGAAAGAGTAATAAACGAAATCGTCAGTTGTGCTTTATTTTGAGTGATTTATCCGATCATTTATTTTGTAGCGCAGAGATCCATTGAAAATGTATGTTTTGGATTATCCGCAATTTTGAATTATCTGCGGCCATCCCCTCCATCAATAGCGAGGTTAATCGAGAGAATACTCTACTTGAGTGAAAGCCCACGAGCACAAGGGGACAACATTCACAGGGCCGCACAGACAAGTCACGTACCCCAACTTGCCATACTGCCACCTCTCAGCCCCGTGAGTTTACAGGCACACGCCACCACCACGGTTAACTAAGTAAATGCAATCACCTAAAACTAACACTCATTGCTTACAAGACACACTTGTAGGTATGTAAACAGTACATTAATTAAGTTTACAAAAAACACTACAGAAAGGACTTTTTTACCATGGTATATACTATGTATTACAAAAAACACAACGTTAAATACTTTTTTTTTAAAGGCTGAGTTAATAAAATGAGTCAATAAAAATGAACTGCTTCTGATTTGTTCAGCACTCTGGATGAAATAATTAAGTGCAGCACCCCGAGTGGGGATAGAGACTAAAACTGCATGCCACCCCCATGCTACATCCTCGTGATGAGCCGACGACTGCCATTCGAGGGAGAAGGACCAACGTGAAGCGTTTAAAGACGACATTCACGAATCAAGTAAATCCACAGGGGAAGACGATTGATGGGGATGGGATTCACAAATCCTTAAGTGAAATCACGTAACCATGTTTCCAGCCGTGCAGACAGGCCGGCTTGAGGCAAATTGCCAACGTACAAAAGGAAGGGCTTATAACACGTTACATCGTTGACACACGGGCGCACTTCTGCAGCGGTAGTGTGAAAGCAGATTGTGAGGTACTGCTTACGTCAAGCGAGCGAGGCAGCAGTGCACCGCCATGGCAGGGTAGCGGCTGCACGCCGTGTCTATGGGGCACAGCTCGCTCGGCGCCACCACTGCCGTGTCTCCATAGTCGAGCAGCAGCACCTGCACTCGTAGACCGGGCGGTGTGACAAACCGTGCAAAGGAATGTTAAGTTAGTCAGTCAAGTTAGTCAGTCAAGTCAGTCAGTCAGTCGCCTGAGTGAGGAGCCGAGGTGGAGTATTGGCAAGAAGCGTGGCGATTCGCAACCCCCAACGGGCTTCCTCCCGCCCCGTACGCCTCCTCCCTCCTCGATTTGAGAACAATCGCAACCTGTGGGTCATGCTTCAATGGAAAATAATGAAGTCTCTCATCTCTCTTTTACAGTCTCGTTTGCAGTCTCGTTCGGTTCCTGAGCCCAAAACGTAATGTTATCATGAATAAGGTTTTGAACCTTAGTAAAACTTGTTTCTCTAGTCCATGCACAAAACCACTGGTCAAATAATAAGCTCAACATTTAGCAACTCCCTCTACCCAAAAGTCTCAACTCAATAGCAAAGCCAACACTTACAGTAGAGACACACAAACAAAGCAAAACACCGTCTTCTGTCTTTGCCCAAGAGCCACAAGTGGTCATTGTAGGTTTTGGCCGAGTGACAGGAGGCCCCGCCTAGTCCAGAGCGAAGACAAAGGGGTGTGGAGCAACCCCTATGAAGAAGGCAGCTCAGTTGAGGAGCTAGCAGGAGCAGAAGCAGAAACAAAGAGTAGCAGTGAGTGAAGGAGGAGCTATAAGATGTGAGCACAGAATTGATTTATTTCAATAAATATTTTCTTCAGAATTTAGTGAATACCACGCACATCAGAGACTGGGGTGTGGTCCCGTTCCTGCCTCATTTTGTGTGCGGCGGCGGTCCCGGGTCAGGACAGCGGCACGCAGACGCAGCTGCCCTGAGACTGAGCACCAGCCACGGGCACTGGTTAGGAAGCGGGGGACTCGGAGAAAGCCAGCCCTGACTCCTGTGACTCAGCGCCAGTCTCGAGCTGCGACCCTGGGTGATGCATTTTAAACGGCATCACAGCTGCTCAGACTGTGCTGTGCGGTAGTGCGTAGCTCCTTTTAACACGTAGTAGTCGTAATGCTATCACGACGCAATATCATCCCCAAGAGTTTTTTTTGGGTTGGATCGCGTAAATGTGTCGTTAATTCCGCCACCACCCAACAGGCGATTAGTAAAGTTAGTCACGTAAACAACTTGATGAAGATTGCTGCTGTTGTAATTACTAGCGAAACGTGACAGTACTTGAATTGTAAATATTGTGGGTTTACTCTCCAATACACACCATGTGTACTGAACTTGTAAATAATTGGCACGTTTTGTGTACGTGACAAACCTTACTAATTGGCTGTTGGGTGGTGATGGCGAGTTAAATGACACATTTAAATTTATGCGATCTAACCCAAAATAATAAATAAACCTCTATTATGAACAATATTGGAGCGAAAGCCTCCTACTCTTATAAACCCTGCACCGTACTTCACCCTGGCGAACTCTGCAATGCGATAGGTACCCACTTTCGCAATGAAACATGGAAATCAGAAACGTGGACAACAAATGAAAACGGAGTGTGCAAGAAAAGAGACAGCTGTTCACAGCGGCGTGGAGAGATGGGATCATGGATATTACTCTGAGACACAGAGGAACATAGTAGAATAGACAAGGGCAAATTAGAGACGCAAATTTACACAGCAGTGACCAAAACATGATAAAACATAAATGCACACTCCGAACTTGGCTAAGACAGAGAGGACGAGGTGTGGATTGGAGAGCGTACACAAGCTGGACAAATCGCATTGAGCTCTAATGCAGCAGCGGATAGAGCAGAGCTTAGAATGCGAAAGCATCGAGAGAGATGCCTGCTGGGAAAGATGCAGAAAAAAGAGGAAAGCGTGGATCAGATGACAAACCCACATTAGACACGCATCGTTTTTGGTCATCATCCATCAGCAGATAGATCATGGCTGATGAAGATTGTGGATGAGTGACTTGGGTCCTGTCCTGGTGCCGCCAAATTTCTTCACGCAACGTCATTGGCCAAAGAACGTGAAGTCACACAATGGCCAAAGTAAGCTCATATACAGTGAACTCTCGATTATCCGATTTATGGATGACCCGCATACCTCAGATTTTAATCAAAATTAATAACTCGTGGATTTGACTTTAAACCCAAATTAATCATCTAAAAAAAGTTCTACATTGGTATTCTTGGAAATGTTTATTAGAAGTCACGTGCTTAAACCGAACAAATATACTTTGGTTCTTTCGGTAAAGTCACGTTGGTATAAAATAAAACAAAATAAAATCACGACATTTCGGGTGCAACACAAGCGTCTGTCATCAGGTGGGACAACCACAGCAAGAAACAATTGCTGAAGTGGGCAAAAAGGCTGCTGTAACAAGAGGCTATATAGGTAAGAGAGGGGGGGGAGGAGCCAGGGAGGAGAGACAGAGGGGGGGGGGGGAGTGGAGCATTGCCGAGTGAAGAGCAGCTAGAAGGGATTAAAGGGCGAGCAACGACAAAATGTCGGGGGGAGGGAAGTGGGCAGGGCTGGGAGTGGGAGGTTGAATAGAAACTGGAGATGCGGATATGAAGGCAAAACCATAAAGCATTTAAGGTTTTCCCTGGTTAATAATATCCTACCAATGATTGCTCAATTTGTATCCATCTTCTTGGTTGAAATAATGTCTATGTTTATATATCTGGATGGCTTCATGAAAAAACTTTTGATAGTAGCCTGAAGGTTTGCAGAGCACCTTGGTCTCGGAAAAAAACAATATCATGAGAGCCCACAGCGTTATAGCAATGGACAGCCATGGCGGAGGTATTAGTTCTGCCGTGTTTCAGATCTGCTCGCAAACACGGTCCGATACGTGTCGTTTCATTTCCCCAATGTAACAATCACCACAGGTGCAACTTAGTTTGTAGACTCCAGGATATTGCATGTCAGGAATGACATCCTTCACAGATGGGATTAGATCACAGATTTTGTGTACTGTACTGAATCGGACCTAGATGTTGTGTTTGTTTAAGATTTTGGAAATATTTTTGGTAATGCCTGCTATGTATTGTAACCTGATGGTTTTGATCGGCGTCTCGGGGGGGTTGTTTCTCCATGGTTAGAGAAACAGCTTTGCAGATAATGCGGTCCGAATATCCATTCCTCTTAAGGGCCTGGTGTACGTGTTCCAGTTCACTGGCGAGGTGGTGTTGGTCAGAAATGCAGGCCATGTGGCCAAATGACGAAAGTGTCATCTAAATATCTCTTCCACAAAGAAGGACGTAGGGTGGATGTCTGGATGGCATCTGTTTCAAATTTCTCCATGAAATTCGCTATCACTGGTGATAAGGGGGAACCCATGGGGGTACCTTCATTTTGTTTGTAGAAAGTACCATTCCAGGTGAAGTAAGTGTTGGTAAGGCAGTGCCTAACCAGAGTAGGAACATCAGAGTTCAGTCCATGTTGGACTATATCTTAAATTATTGCCAAGGTGTCAGGCACAGGAACCTTGGTGAACAGAGAAACTACAGTAAAACCTCGGAGATCGAACGCACCAGAACTCGAACAAATCGGTGTTCGAACGATATTTCTGAACATTTTTTGCCCCGGAAACCAAACGAAATTCGGAGGTCGAACGGGCAATCGCGACTTGAAAGAACCTAAATTTTTATTTAAAGCTTTCGTGACTGCAGTGATTCATATTCTTGGTTCTTCCGGTAAAGTCACGTTGAAGGGAAACAATACAATCATAAAATATATATATAAAACAATGAAATTCTCACGACGTTTTGACTGTAACCATTTCGGGTCTTAATTGATTGTTCACGCTTACGGTGGCTTTCAGACCGCATCCATTATTTTCGTCTCCCCCCTCCTCTTTTCCGAACATAGATGGACTCGTCCATCTGAACAAACTGTCAAATCGCTCTCCGTGGTGCCAACGTTAAAAATAACCGCCACTTTTTTCAAATTTTCTTGCTGTGGTTTTCACATCTGATGATGATTGCTTGTGTTGCAGTCGAAACGTCGTGAGAATTTTATTGTTTAGTATTTTTTGTATTTTATTGTTTCCCTTATACGTGACTTTACTGAAAGAACCAAGAATATAAGCTGGATCTGCGTCAGCAGTTACATTGGAGAAACCAAACGACATGTCTTGGACCGTGTTCGTGAACATAAGGCAGATCTGAAACACGGCAGGACCAATACTTCTGCCGTGGCTGATCATTACTTTAATGCAGCTGGTTCACGTGAAATTGATTTATCTAAGACAATGGTACTTTGCAAGCCGACTGGCTATGAACAAAGATTCGTTCACGAAGCCATCCATATATACAGACACAGACAATTTCAACTGAGATGACGGCATTAAACTAAGCAATCATTGGAAAGACGTTTGGGTCATGACTTGATTTATGTTTTCTTGCCAACCTCTCCCGTCAGCAATGTGGATGGGTTCAGCGAGGTGCAATGCCCCCCCCCATCTTTACTCCCCCTCCCCCCCCCCCCCCATATCTCTGCCCACCCCCTCTCTCTCCCCCTGTCTCTGTCCCCTTCCTCCCCCCCATTGTCTGCTCCTAATTTAACGCTGGCTGCCCCGCCCATGCTGTTTGCGCTGCACAAGCTCACCTCCGCCCAACTCCCCCTTTGTTTTGCTCCTGCATTAGCGCGCTGCATCCGCAACTTGTGTTGCTTGCGCAACTCTTTCCCCCACCCACTCACTTTGGAACCCTTATAGGCAGCTACATTTGGAGGCTTGCCCCCTCTTTTCTCTCCGCCTGCTGAAGACCGCTTGTGTTGCGATGGAAACGTCGTGGGTTTTTTGCTTTTATTATTTTCTATGTATTTTAATTTCGATTTTTTTTTTTATTTATTTTACTATTTTTATCGTGGGTTTTTGCTTTTATTTTTTCAATGTATGATTTTGTAAATTATTAGATTTTTTTATTTTAATATTATTTTCATTTATTTATTTATTTACGTGACTTTACCAAAAGAACCAAGGATATGAGTTCTACAAATTTAGTTATATTCATTAACTCCATTTTTTTACTTAAACATAACTTATACCCCTAGACATTAGTGGTTTTTGGCAGAGGTCCACAGAAGATGGATATTTTTGGATTATCCACGATTTTGAATTATCTCCGGCCATCCTCCCTGTCATTAGCGTCGAAAATCAAGAGTCTACTGAAATTAACAATCTCTTTTTAGCTGAATATTGAATAATCCTTCGATAAACACACGCCTGGTTTTGTTTTTCCAGGGTAAGTCCCAAATAGCAATAGGACATCATACCAACCCCTCAAGTACATTTGATTGCCTTTTCAAGTTGCTGCAATCCCCACCATAGCGAGAAGGGCCGACGGACAGTCGGTCACACGGGTGATGCGTGAATGCTTCAGCCTACAACACGCCATGGCAATGTAACCGGTACTGGGCAACTATCTGAACGCTGGAAGAATTTTACTGCAAATTACTCAATTTGCAGTAAAATGCAAATGTTGTATAATGTATGTTGATTACCCTTTGAATAACCCAACCGGTATTGGATATCCATTGTAATTTATATGCATTTATTAACCTCCCTCCCTCTGGCTTTAGTACCCGATTGCCTCGCAAGTGACGACATCACATTAATCTAAGAGCGAAACAGGGGGATTTCTCCACAACTCTGGCTGTCGCCTGATGATGCAAGTTGTAATTACTGGCAAAACGTCTTACTGGAATTGTAAATGTTGGGGGTTTACGCTCCAAGACACCCGTGTGTTGAACTAGTAACGAATTAGCACGTTTTGTTTACGTGACAAACAATACTGATTGGCTGTGTCGCGTGGTTGCGGGTTAAACGAAAGATCTATATTTACGTGATCTCACCCAAAAACCTCTATTATGAATAATGTTCGTGAAAGCCTACGTGTTAAACTGAGTCTCGACTCAACTGAGGCCTTCCTGGGGTAAAAAACATACTAATATGTATGTTGAACTTCTTTCGTACCGTACATAGCCAAACGTGCTAAATCGGAGGTGCAGGAACAGAAAAAACCTTGGTTGCAAAGCAGCTAAAAGGCCTGGTGACAGAAGTGACATGTCTGCTACATCTAGGTTTCAATCAACTCATTGCCCAGCGCGAACTTAAACGTCAACTCGACTACGGGAACAGACCTGAATCTGACCCTCAGGACGGAGGCTTTGGATCCGGGCCCTGGCCCAGGTGCAATGGTTTGCGCTGTACAGAGCGCACAGCGAGCCCTCGGCAAGATCAGCGCCAGAAGCCGGCGCCGCCCCCTGCGTCAGGACCGCCGCTTGCTCGGGGCAGAGTGGCCGCGGCTTCCCACCAAAACGCTCCTCCAGCATTTCCTTCAGTCTGCACACCCCGCACACACAGGGCGCAACACGATGTCCGCACGTGATAAAAAAAAACACCGCACTCCATGTGGTGGCACTGCTGCACAAAGCAATGACGCACGGCATTTACGAAGACTTGGGGAGGAGTTTGGTAATTTCTGTAAAAAATGTATCGTGGGACCTTTTTGCCAGCATCGAAGTATAAAAGAAAAGAATAGGTTTTACCCTTTCTGGCAATAAAACAGGAGTTAAGATGTTCAAACACCATATATCCATACCGCGGGCCACCGGTCCAACATTACTCGTAACATTCAGCAATTCTCTTTCGGCCACGCAACATACTGCAGGTCAACGTTTTGGAGGGTGTTGGCTCTGCGTGGCCAATCGAGGCCCAGAGTCCTGGGTAACAGTCGAGACCGCCGCGGGTCATCGACACGGAGCGGCCCTGACGAGTCGCAACGCCGCTCGAGTGAAAGCTTGCTTCCGCGAGTTGCCGCGCGATCCGAACGAGCCACGTCCCTCGTGGTCAGGGCTGTCAACGATCTCTCCCAACTCAAGGCAGCTCGCTTTGAAGCTGCCGACCACCACTGGCTCCGCCAGTGGGGGGGGTGGGGTGGCATGTGCCCCCCCACGATCAAAATCCCTAATTCGATCGGATCATTGGGGTTTATTCGTAATAAATCGGCATTTTGCGACCCCCACTGCCACTGTGAAGCATATTATTATATGCCAGGGACTCTTTGAGATGATAGGACAATAGTCCATAATTGGCAATAAGTAACTGCAATGCAGTTATAATAAGTGACTCACAGACTTGTGCGCAGTTGCGTATACAGGACACGACTTCCCTAAGGCATACCTTCTGCGAGCACGATGCCGATCACACACGGTTCGAATTCGACCCTTGGTCGATGGCTGCTCCATCGCCGCACACACGTCAAATAAAAAGCAAGGGACAAGTCCTTCCTCACTAACAACTCCTATAATTTTTCATTGCTGGAGGGATTGAACCCCCTACCTGAAAATATCCTGGCTCCGCCATTGCCGAGCACGCTTCCCCACATGTGCTCGGAATGGCGACGGGCCATTAACACTCAATGTAGAGCAATCGCAGGCGCTTTCGTTTAACTCGGCTGTCTGTGCCGCGATCTACAATTTTAGCCAGAGCGCAGACTTACTGGAGATCTGATGAAGCAATCATGAGCACTGCTGCTGTGCATTGGTGCTGCCTGCATGGCGCCCGCATGCGTGATGCCCGTATGCTTGTGGGTAGGGTATGGGGAAGGGTGAGGCTTGTGGGTAGGGGGTGGTGAGGGGTGAGGCTTGTGGGTAGGGGGTGGAGAGGCATGAGGCTTGTGGATAAGAGGTATGGAAAGATGAGGATTGTGAGTAGGGGGTGGTGAGGGAAGAGGCTTGTGGGTAAAGAAGGGTGAGACTTGTGGGCAGGGGGTAAACACTGTGGGCACTGTGGGTACTGTGTGCCCACCCTTTAAAGCTTATCTACAGTGTGTTCTGTGGGGCCGCCAAGGGAATTGGACGGTGGCCGGCAGTATAGTGCCACGGTGGCGAGATGTTAACTACCTCGCCTTGTATACAGGAGGTTGTGGGTTCGATCCCAACCCTGATGCCTGCTGTATATTTGGAGTTTGCATGTCTCTCTCCCCCATGGTCGCATGGAATTTTCTTTAGGTCCTCCAGTTTTTTGGCTGATCATTGTTTTAATGTGGTGGGCTCACACGAAATAGATTTCTCCAAGACGAAGGTACTTTGCAAACCCACTGGCTATCAACAAAGATTCGTTCATGAAGCCATCCAGATATATAAACACAGACACAATTTCAACCGAGAAGATGGGTGCAAACTGAGAAATCATTTGAAAGACGTTATTAACCAGTTTAAGCTGTAACTGGCTGTGATGTTTCCATCCTAACCTTCCGACATTCGTTGTTATTTTCGACTCTCTGATTTTACATTAACAGGTTAAATGTCTCACACTAACGCAGCCACCGTCGCTCGTGTCCTCGATGTGGCGGCGGCTCTGCGACCTTACATTAACATGCTAATCTCTCACATTACAATTGCCACCTCTGCGCCCTCGGCGTGGAAGTCGCCCTCCGATCTTACATTAATATGCAAATTTCTCACTTTAACATCACTAACCCCGCCCACTTCGTTTCTGACCCTTGGGCTACACCCATTTCAAATTTTTAAAACAGCCTGCCTCAGCAGCTTTCCCCATATTTTTCCGCCTGATGACGATTGCTTGTATTGTGATCGAAAAGTCACAGTTTTTTGTCCTTTTTTGTTCTACGTGACTTTACTGAAAGACCCAAAGAATATTAATTCCTGCAGTCACGAAAGCTTTAAGTCGACATTTAAAATGAAAATAGTTAAATTTTAGTTTACAGTTGGGTGAGTGGGTGGTGGAGCTAGTAGGTGAGGGGCTGGGTGAATGAGTTGTTGGTTGGATGAGTTGTTCGGTTAGATATTGAGTGGGTTGCAGTGAGAGTGGGTGGGTTGTTGGGTGGGTGGGTGAGTTATTGAATGGGTGTGTAGGATTATACTAGTTCGTATAGGAAAAAGAGAAACGCAATAAACACGTCACCACGCAACATCGCGCACGCACACACGGAGACGAGCCGAGCGGTGATGCTCACGTGGGTAAGAAATTTCCGAGCGCTTCATCGGGCTGCAGGTAGAAGGAGGCGGGGGACCTCACGAAGGAGACGAAGGCGTGAGTTGGCGTCGTTGGTATCGTCCTGCCGCGGCGAGCTCGGTCCGACCACCATACGGCCGCAGCCTCTACGCCACATGGCCCCTCCGGCACGTCCGCCTGCACCGCCGCTCTTTCTTTCGCCAACTTCAACTCCTCCATGGACACCGAGCTGCGGTAACCCCAAAGGGATAAACGCCCCACACTCTACAAGTTGCTAATAAAATACACCGGTAACAGTCCGTGTTCTCCAGTAACGCCACGTGTTTCTTTCATAATGCGTATTGGATACAACGCGATGCATGTTCCCTCCGGGTCCTCCGGTTTTTCACTCCACATTCATATTTTATAACGCGGATGCGAAATGCATTTAACGCGATCGAGTGAACTACATCGTGCAAGTAGGAATAAGAGATTGTGTGGCTGCCTCGGCGTAGCATCATCACGCAAGGCATTGGGATGCTGCTGGATGCTTCCAGATGCTACCCACGCGCCTCACTCTTCATTCAGCCTGCATATGTATCTCACGTGTGATCGTGGACTGTTTCTTTCCCAAATATGTCTCGCTTTGCACGCAACTTTGTTGATTATAAATACAATCCCTTAATTCCCATTGAATCAACGGTTGTGATTATAACGTGATTTTTCCACAACGCGGTGTTCTTCAGGAACGCGATTACTGCCACATTATAGAAAACACGACTGTATAGATTTGTTTCCTCGAGATTTCCAACATCTTGAGTCTCGGTGCATCACTGTTTGTTGCCGTTTTTGGTGTTGTTTGAGGAACACAAACAGACACGCTTGAGTGCAAGAGAGCTCCAGAGCAACTCAAAGCTAAAAATCAAAAATTACGTAAGCAACTAATGAACAAGGGTGTAAGACAGGCAAAGTCCTAATTGTTCAATTATAAATCACAGATGTCGCCTGAAGATGATTGCTTGTGTTGCGATTGAAACATCGTGATATTGTTATTATTTGGATTATTTTTTCTATCTACGTGGCTTTACCGAAAGACCCAAAGAATATTAATTCCTGCAGTCACGAAAGCTTTAAGTGAATTTGGTGCTAATTTAGCATTGACATGAATGGGGATTGTGTCCAGACAATCCAGAAACTCATCCATAGCATCCACGTTCATTTCAATGGCAAGTCCTGCATCGCCATTCAAATGAATGGAATTCTGCCAGAACAGTAAAATGTGAAAAATGAGAAAAAGCACCTTAGCAGAGAATGTGGCATCCAAGAGAACGGGTTCACAGAATTCTACCCAACAGATAAGTAAAGTTAAAAAATTGCAAGTGCATACTCTCCTCTGCTCCACACTCAAAACTCACACTTATTGTTCAATAGCACACCACTCGACCCCTTCATCTCCCCCTCTTAACCATCACCGTTATTTTTCCCTCTTCATATTCTCATATGGCTTTCACTCATTCCCCATTAATTCAATCCATGCATGATCATTTACTGTCATCAATTTTGCTTTCACCAAACTCCCGCATCATCACAGATTAGCTCCCCATTGCTTCCTCTCATCTATTTTATTCACCTCATCTCCACCATTACATTCATATGTTGTTGTCCCGTTGTTACTTATTTGTAAAGTGCCTTAGTTAAGCCGCTATATACATTCCTTCAAGATGAGATTAGTGTGCAAACAATGTTCAGGTAAGAGATTTGTGCTAAAGATACGTATTCATGAATACATTTAGAGCAACCTCCTAGCTTACCCACCGTTTCAGCTTACTGAAGTGCGGCTTAGGAGTTTTTCCCAGTGTGTGACGTTTCTACCGTTTTCCTCAGAGCCATCATTTTATGATAAATTGCGTAACACTGATCTTTCCAAGCGGCGATGAGAAGAAAAGCCAGCACTGTCGGTTTGTGGGGGCTGGGGTACTGCTGCGAGGCTTCGCGACCGCGTTGGGTGACGGCATTTGCACCCAAAGTCCATACCAGATTCCAAGACGTTGCGCAAAGCCCTCATCCACCAGTATCTTGCTCAACAACTGGGCCGGTTCGACAAAGAGGTGCACGGACACGTGATTGCCACTTCTGTTATCTGGACGATGACACAACAACCACACACACATCTCACAACGGAGAAGTAGACAGGAGATTAAAAACATCTGGTCAAACAGCAGGACTGCAACCGCGTAGCAAAGACGGAACAGGGGTAAACAAGATAAATATCCTGGACCCAACGAAAGAATGTAATTAATATTCCGAGGTCAAGGTTAAACATTAACTGGGGTTGAGATGACAGCTACAATTTCTCGGTCTGATTGGGACATATAAGCAAAAGCAGGAGACGATGCAGGCTAAATTGACAGGCATGAGGCAAGACGTTAGATTGGTTTCAGAAGTCACAATTATTGGCAAAAAGCAGGCAGGACAAAAACTGCAGGACAGGTAACTTTTTAAGATAATTAAGATAATGTAGAATTATAATTCTAAATCATCATTATACGTATAGTTACACACGGTAAGCGCACTGCACGTCACATTCAAGTGGTGAGCGCACTGCATGTAACGGTCAAATTATGAGCGCACTGCGTGTCACGTTCAAGTGGTGAGCGCAGTGCGTGTCACGATGAAGTGGCAAGCACAATGCGTGTCACTTTGAAGTGGTGAGCACACTGTGTCACAAGTTTAAGTGGAGAGCACACTACATGTCACGTTCAAGTGGTGAGCGCACTGCATGTCACGTTCAAGAGGTGAGCGCACTGCATGTCACGTTCAAGTGGTGAGCTCACTGCATGTCACATTCAAGAGGTGAGCATACTGCATGTCACGTTCAAGTGGTGAGCGCACTGCATGTCACGTTCAAGAGGTGAGCACACTACATGTCACGTTCAAGTGGTGAGCTCACTGCATGTATCGTTCAAGAGGTGAGCACACTACATGTGACGTTCAAGTGGTGAGCTCACTGCATGTCACGTGCAAGTGGTGAGCGCACTGCATGTCACATTCAAGAGGTGAGCATACTGCATGTCACGTTCAAGTGGTGAGTGCACTGCATGTCACGTTCAAGAGGTGAGCACACTGCTTGTCATGTTCAAGTGGTGAGCGCACTGCATGTTACGTTCAAGTTGTGAGCGCACTGCATGTCACGTTCAAGTGGTGAGCGCACTGCATGTCACGTTCAAGAGGTGAGTACACTGCGTGTCACTTTAAAGTGGTGAGCACACTGTGTGTCACACGTTCAAGTGGTGAGCGCACTGCGTGTCACGTTCAAGTGGTGAGTGCACTGCATGTCACGTTCAAGTGGTGAGTGCACTGCATGTCACGTTCAAGTGGTGAGTGCACTGCATGTCACGTTCAAGTGGTGAGCATACTGCATGTCACGTTCAAGAGGTGAGTACACTGCATGTCACGTTCAAGTGGTGAGCACATTGCATGTCACATTCAAGAGGTGAGCGCACTGCATGTCACGTTCAAGTGGTGAGTGCACTGCATGTCACGTTCAAGTGGTGAGCGCACTGCATGTCACGTTCAAGAGGTGAGTACACTGCATGTCACGTTCAAGAGGTGAGCACAATGTGTGTCACGTTCAAGTGATGAGCTCACTGCGTATCACGTTCAAGTGGTGAGCTCACTGCGTATCACGTTCAAGTGGTGAGCTCACTACTTGTCACGTTCAAGTGGTGAGCGCATTGCGTGTCACGTTCAAGTGGTGAGTGCACTACGTGTCACGTTCAAGTGGTGAGCGCACTGCATGTCACGTTCAAGTGGTGATCTCACTACATATTCTTGGTTCTTTCGGTAAAGTAACGTATAAAACAATAAAATTCTCACGACGTTTCGACTGCAACACAAGCAATCATCATCAGGTGTGAAAACCATAGGAATAAAATTTGAAAAACGTGGCGGTGTTTTAACGTTAGAACCACGGAGAGCGATTTGACAGTTTATTCAGATGGACGAGTCCATCTATGTTCGGAAAAGAGGAGGGGGGGAGACGATAATAATGGATGCGGTCTGAAAGCCACCGTAAGCGTGAACAATCAATTAAGACCCGAAATGGTTTATCAAATACTTCCAATGATTGCTAAGCCAGAATCCATCTTCTCGGTTGAAATTGTCTCTGTGTTTGTATATGTGGATAGCCTCATGAACGAATCTCTCATGGTAACCAGATGGCTTGCAAATAACCTCTATCTTGGAGAAGTCAATGTCATGTGAACCTACTGAATTATAACAGTGATCTGCCACGGCCGAGGTATTGGTCCTACCGTGTTTAAGGTCTGCTTTGTGTTCCCGAATGCGGTCTGAGACATGTCGTTTGATGTAATTACTACCACAGAGGCAACTTAGTTTGTAGACGCCAGGGTACTGTATGTCCGGAATCACATCTTTTACAGACGGAACCAGATCACGGATTTAGATGGACTGGTCCATCTGAATAAACTTTCAAATCGCTCTCCGTGGTGCTAACATTAAAAAATCGCGAATTTTTTCAAATTTTCTGGCTGTGGTTTTCACACCTGATGATGATTGCTTGTGTTGCAGTCGAAACATCGTGAGAATGTTATTGTTTAATATTTGTATTATTTTATTGCATCCCTTCTACGTGACTTTACCGAAAGAACCAAGAATATGAATCCAGATTTAAAGCTTTCGTGACTGCAATGATTCATCTTCTTTGGTTCTTTCGGTAAAGTCACGTAGAATGATAATAAAATAATAAATTGATAAAATAAAATAACACAATAATATTCTCACGACGTTTCGGCCACAACACAAGCGGCCTTCATCAGGTGAAGGGGGCGAGACTGTCTGGTAGGACAGCGCTGGAGTCAAAGAGCCACGTTCAGATACGGCCTTTAAGCTGTGTGAGAGGAACAAAGCGCCTTGACAAAGGAATTAGCATATAATTTAGCATTGAAATGGCTGAATGATTAGCTTGTGACTGGTCACAGAAATAGCTATGTTAAAAGTTAAAGCATACACACCCGCAGAGGCACCCATTGTTAAAGGGATTAGCATAGAATTTAGCATTGAAATAGCTAAGTTAAGGCATACACATCTTGACAATGGAATTAGCATAGAATTTAGCATTGAGATAGCTGAGTGATTAGCTTGTACCTGCTGCAGAAATAGAGCTTGTACCTGCTGCAGAAATAGCTACGTTAAAGTCAGAGCATACACATTCACCGAGGCCCTTAGTACAAATCAAACAGGAGAATTTAGCATTGAAATAACTAGGCGAATCCAGCATTGAAACAACTGAGTGATTAGCTAGTGACTGGTCACAGAAATGACTACACATCTGAGCTATTCACAGTACTATATAGTGAACCAATAAAAACTAAAATATAAATTACCTTCATGTTATCAATAAACTCTATATTCTCCAATCAGCTAAGCTACCAACAATAAGTCGTTATATATCACAATGCTATATGGCGAAAAAATGGGTGGATTCTTACCCTCAAATTTCAGCACCACGGATAGCTACGGGCCCCGTTCAGACGGACGAGTTCGTCCATGGTCGGAACAGAGGAGGGGGAGAGAGACAGCTGCGAGGCCCTAGTATGCTCCATATTGTAAAACTATACCATTAACCGTGGTGTGAGAGGTATTAAGAGGCAATGCTGGCGAAAGAGCTGCGGTCTGAAGGTCATCGTAAAAATACAATTAATTAAGAACAGAAATGATTTAAAACATCTTTCCAGTGGTTACTAAGCCTGAATCCATCTTCTCGGTTGAAATTGTCTCTGTGCTTGTATATGTGAATGGCCTCATGAACGAATCTCTCATGGTAGCCGGTTGGTTTGCAAAGAACCTCCGTCTTGGAGAAGTCAATGTCATGTGAGCCCACTGAATTATAACAGTGATCTGCCACGGCAGAGGAGTTCGTCCTACCGTGTTTCAAGTCTGCTTTGTGTTCGCGGATGCGGTCCGAGATATGTCTTTTGGTTTCTCCAATGTAGCTACTACCACAGAGGCACTTTAGTTTGTAAACGCCCGGGTACTGTATGTCTGGAACAGCATCTTTTACAGATGGAACTAAATCACGGATTTTATGTACTGTGTTGAATCGGACCTGGATCTTGTGTTTGTTCAGGATTTTGGAGATCTTTTTAGTGACCCCTGCAATGTAGGGTAAGGTGATGGTTTTGAGTGGCTCCACAAGAGGATCCTTCTTCATGACTGGAGTGATGGCTTTGCGGATTGTGTAGTCGGAGTAGCCATTAGCCCTGAGAGCCTGGTGTACGTGCTTGAGTTCACTGGTAATGTGTTCCTGGTCGGAAATGCATTGGGCTCTATGGTATAGAGTCTTGATGAGGGAGTTCTTCTGGGATGGATGGTGGTGGGAATCCGGTTTCAAGTAAGCATCTGTATGGGTAGCTTTCCTGTAGACAGAGTGGCTCATTGAACCATCATGTCTTCTTTTAATTAAGACATCCAAAAAGGGTAGTTTGCCATCTTTTTCGACCTCCATGGTAAATCTGATGGCTGGGTGTATGGAATTGATGTGGTCGCGGAATTGGTCTAGAGCAGGCTGGCCATGTGGCCAGATGACAAAGGTGTCATCAACGTACCTCTTCCATAAGGTCGGGCGTAGAGTGGCAGTCTGGATGGCGTCAGTTTCAAATTTTTCCATGAATACGTTGGCTACAACCGGAGATAGGGGGGAGCCCATTGGGGTGCCCTCAGTTTGTTTGTAGAAAGTTCCATTCCAGGTGAAGTAAGTGTTGGTTAAGCAATGTCTCACCAGGGGGGGTACATCAGTATGCAGTCCTTGATGAACCAGGTCTTCAATGATAGCGATGGTGTCAGGTACCGGGACTTTGGTGAACAAGGACACCACATCAAAACTGACAAGCAGGTCGTTTGTGGACAGGGAAATGCCTTTGATTGTCGATACCAGGTGAGTAGAATTTAGTACCGCAGAGGTGGTTTTTCCAGTGAAAGGTCGCAGTATATCAGCAAGAAAACGTGCCAGTTTGTAGGTGGGGGAGCTGATAGTAGAGACGATGGGACGAAGGGGTGTATCTTCTTTGTGTATCTTTGGAAGGCCATATAATCTTGGTGGTCTGGCAGCAGAGGGCTTCA